GCCGTGGGCTTGTGGTGGCGTCGCCAAGGCTCTCGCCACCGCCTGATGATGCGTCGGACCTCCTCGCCATCGAGAACGGGCCCGCCGAGGAGTTGGATGGCCACTCAGTCGGAGGCGGCGGCGCTTCGCGGGCCGCGGCCGCGGTCCCTCGCGCTGTCTCCAAGGTCGCGGCGGCGTTGGCGGGCGCGAGGGGCTCTACCGCCCGCGGCAGTTCGGGCGCGTCCCCTGCGGCGCCCAGTGGGCCTGAGGCTTTGCAGCCACCGCGGCCTGTCAGGCTCTCGTCAGGGGTGTTGGCTTCCTTGGACTCGCCAGCAGGCTCAGCGGCATCACCTCCTGCAGTTCGCGACCGTTCGAGGTCTCCAGCGCCCAGCCATGCCACGCGCGTCAGCTCTGGGCGCAAGGCTCCAGCGAAGTCGAGCCAGAGCGTCTTGGCTAACGACAAGGTGCGGTGGGAGCAGCTCAAGCAGGACGTCATCATCTCTCACATCCTCGACGGCGTGCCGAAAGGCGATCGAGTTTACAGCCTCAAGAGGTTCAAACCGTCTTCGCCCAGTATGGCGATCATGGCTGAAACACTGCACACGAAAGCTGAGACAGCGACGCTGCTTTCGACCACCATGAACGACATGAGCTGGGGCCAGATCTGTACGCACCTCAAGGTTCTCTCAGCCGAGGACGTCCAGGGCGCCTACAACTTCTCGCAGGCCTTGTTGAGGAAGTACTTGCTCCTGGGTAACCCCACCACCGACCAGATCACGGACGCGATCTTACCAATCGGAGCAAGCCCCGACCCGTTCAACATGTTCGAGCCCAAGCTGTCCAGCATGACGGGTGATATCGACTCGAGGGTGGCGGTGGCTCGAGAGATCCTCATGGACATCGTGGTGCTCCCTGGCTTGGCGGACCCCTCCAAGGTCGGGCACATGCAGGACCTAGGGGTGAGCTTGACCGACCAGTTCTCTGCCATCTCGTCGGGGTGGAGCCCCAGCGTAAAGGACTTCTTTGAGAAGGTCATGGGCGTGGGCCTCTTGCTGACCCACCTGGGCAACGACGACCCCGAGTCCTTCTCGGTCTGCGCGCCGCACATGTCATTATTGATCAACTTGCTGACTGGTGGCTTCTCCGATCCAGAGTGGATGCCCCTCGCGGAGACCTTCAGCAAGCACGAACCGTGGGCCGAGTGGAAGTCTTCGTTTCGAAGGGCTGCCTCGACTGACCTCCAAGCTGCGCCGAAGATGAACCAGTTGGTGTTGAAGTTGGCCGCTGCCGAGCTGGACGAAGAAGGCATGAATGACCTCACACCTGCGATCACGTCCATCGGCCATTGGAGGAAGACGTGCCGTGGCAAGGCATCGTCGACGATGAAGGCGGAGCAAGCGGTCCAGAACGCCATCACCAGGATGACCACGCAGCTCTGCAACAGCAGCGATGCCCTCGTCAACTTGGAGCTGCTGGGCAAGCTCGAGGAGATCATGGTTCACTACTCTTCGGTTGCAGACTTCGCGCTGGACATGGAGGACTCCGACAAGCTGGGCGGTGCGTACGGTCGCTTGATTGGCAAGCGCGCGGACGCCGAGTTGTGCAGGGGCGAGGCTGCCATCATGGCGGCGGTCCGCGCGTTCATCAGCATCAACAGCGACGACCGCAAGCAGGCGCTCAGGGTCGCCCTCGAGAGCAACAGGAAGGTGACAATCGGTGGGGAGGCTGAGGTCGCTGACATTGCCAAGGCAGTTGCCATCATCTTCAAGAACATTCAGCTGTTCGAGGCGACCGAGTGCGAGGCGACGCTGAGGAGGCCTGATATCAGCCATCTTCTTCACGCTGCCTTCGAGGCCCAGGCCATCGGAGATCTCCTGCGCAAGGCGATCAAGAACACTGGCAGCTCGGGCATCCTCAGCGTTGCGATCAGCATGAGGGGTGACGACGTGAAGACGCACCTCTTGCACATCGAGCAGTACGACAAGTTCAGTCAGACCACTTTGAATCAAGATTCAGATCACCAGGACATCAAGGATGCTTGGGATGGACTCGTTTCATCATCGACGACGCTGCCTTCCTTGGGCTCCGATGACCAGGACACCAACCTCGTAGAGCACGGATTCACGACCTGGCGCGAGTTCGCCGACAAGGTTGAGCCGTGGACGCATGCTGCAAAGGAGGCCATGAACTCGTACGCCAAGGCGCGGGCAGAGGACGCCAAGAACGCAGCCACTTCCGTGGCGGAGAAGCTGGAGAAGATCGCTGGCGGCATGGCCGACGGCAGCGACTGGCTCCAGAAGTACGAGGGTTCGGACTGGCCGTCCTTGCAGGAGCACATGAAGAAGAGCCTCTACAAGCAGATCGGCATCTCCCAGCGCATCAAGACGCTCACGAAAGAGCTTCAGGGCAAGAAGGCTGAGTTCAGCTTCACTTGCAAGGACTTCGCCGTCTCGGAGTACGACTACCAGGCGGATGTCGCCAGGTGGTCTGCCGTGGTGGCGCGCGCCAACTTGACGGTGACCGTGGCATCGCTCGGCCAGGCGGTCGGTGGAAGCGGCCCGATGGCCATCGAGACGCTTCAGAGGGCGATCGACGCGATGACGGCGAAGAGCGTCTCGTACGAGCAGGTGCCAGAGTCCCTCTGGCAGGAGGTCCAGCGCAGGCTGGCCGCTTGAGCGGCGCCAGGCAGCAGGCTACGCCGCCGCCTGACTAGAGGAGAAGGGAGACAGAAGAGGAGGAGGGAGGAGGAGGAGGGAGGAGGGAGGAGGGGGATGGAGGAGGAGAAGGGAGGAGGCGGGGGGAGAAGGAAGAAGGAGGACTGAAGAGGGAGGACGACGCGAGCACGAGCCACGCACGACAGGAGGCCGCCGCCGCCGCTGCCGACAAAACATTCTTGTCGAGCGATGGTCTCCATCCCGTCCTTCTTCTCTTCTGCTGCCTCCTTGCCCCTCCTGCTTCCGCCCTCCCTCCTCCTTCTCCTCCTCCCCCCTCCTCCTCCTTCCCTCTCTCCTCCTCCTCCCTCCTCCTCCTTCCCTCCACCCTCCTCCTTCTCCTCCTCCTCCTTACCGTGTTTTTTTCGATGCTGATGCGTATGTCACCTATTGGCGCTAGTGGGCTTACCCATGGTTCCGTAGACTTGGGTTGGGCCCGTAAGCGGGCCACACCCCCTTGGCGGCCATCAAACGTCATAGCTATTTTTCGGTACCCTTGCTTTCCCACAAAACTACTGATCACTGTTCGGGACCCCCCCGAGGGCGTCGATCACCCTGACCCTCACGCGAGGGTGGGGGGCACCAAACCCGATGGCCCTTTCGGACCATCAAAACCCATCGTCGTAGGAAGTACGTTCTAGACAAGCAAGATAAGTCTCAACACCAGTGGGGGTTCGGGTCGCTCGGCGTCGATCGGGCGTCGTTCCTGGAGGGTCCCCAGATGTTCCAGGCGGGGAAGAAGCACACAGACACAGTTAATCGTCGATTCCAATGAAAATATGGAAAAATATGGAAAGTGGGGGGAAAACGAAAATTTACAAAAATGTGGACACATATGGAGAAACCTGTTATTTGTGTCTATTTGTTTGTGTGTCCCAGGGCCCCTTCACTGGAGGGTCCTCAGATGTTTCAGAGGAGGAGAAGGACAAAAAGGAGGAAGAGGTGTGAGGTTCGAGGACTTGAGCTCTTGTGTGCTGCGGGGCGCCGTCTTGTACCTCTGCGGTTTCCTCAATCGCCACGGCTGGATCTGCTTCGAAGTTTAGGCCCGAGCCGCTCCAGTCCCCACGGCTGGGTTCCCTCCGAAGTCGGAATGCATGCGTGAAGAGGTCCAGGGGTCGATTTGTGCGGTGGACCCAGAACTCCAACGTTTATGGCCCCAGGACAGTCCGAAAGTCCGACGGGTTGAAAATACCAGCCTCGCGAAAGGCACCGAGAGGTCCCTGCGATGTGGCTGCCGACGTGAAGCAATCGATTCGTCACAGTTCTGGTGGGCTCCCATGCGAGACTGGCCAGAGCTGCCACAGAACAGTGCGGCTGGAAGGCGTCACCCGCCTCGTGCTCGAGTCGGGTTCCTCGGGCTGGCGTCAGCAGGAGGCCGGCGTGGAGCGGAGAAGAGTCCAGACCCTGGGCATCCCTGTTCATGCGGCATCTCGCATGGCAGAGCCATGTGAGCGACGAAGGGAAACGGGTTCGTGTTCACCGACATTGGCGCGTCAGGTCGCGCGAAAGTTCCCTCGTTTCCGACATTGCGTGCCGCGCGAACGGCCCGCGTACGCCGCGGCGTAAGGTCGCTACATCATCCCGCGTAAGACCCGTTGTTTCCCGTCGCTCACGCGTCAGTATCGTGCACGTCGCATCGCCGCCCAAGGGGGGGATCAGAACAACAGCTGGGGTCAGCTGATTTCTAGTGTAACTCCCACCAGCAGGTCCCTGTCTCGATGTATGGCCGCTCCCGCCGCTTCCTCGAGGCTCTCGGGAAATCAGCTACATGTAGCGGATTCGCTATACATGGTGTCCATTTGTTGAGCCCCTGTCGTCCACGTCGAGGTAGCAAGAGGAGGAGGAGGACATTCGAGAGAACAGCACGTGTAGATGTCAAGATAGCACCATGGTCGACGGTATTATCAGATTTCCTCATTCAGTTGTGGCGTCTATCTCCCAATCGTAATGCATGTGGCATCTGCCTCAGCATATCGTCCCTCCACCAGTCGTCCTCTCTTGGCCTCTTTTCCTCTCCGCCTTCTAACTTTTTCAGCTTTTCACTTTCTCCCTCCCCCGCATTCGTTTCGTTTACATTCCCTCCTTCCCTTCCCCACCACTCTCTTTCCCTCCCTCCCTTTTCCCCTCCCTTCCCCTCCCTTCCCCATCACTCCCTCCTTCTCTCCCCCAAACGTACTCCACTCTCTCGCGCCTCAATTTCCCACCCTCCCTCTCTTTAGCCCTCTTCTCCTGCACCGTCATGAGTCCTCCCTCTCTCTGTATCCCTCTGCCCTCCGACTTCCTCCTGCTGTCGCCGTCCCGACGCCTGAGGAGCAGGCGCTCACGCGCTTCTCGGATAACCAGGGCTCCTTGCCGATGTTTGTAGGCGGCGCCGGGAGCAGAGTAGGAGGCGGAGGGAGGTGATCTTGCCGCCCCCTCGCTCCCCACCTTCTACTCCATTCCCCCTCACCTTCCATGAGGGGATGTGATGGGATTCGCCGTGATGGGAAGGAGATGGATGGATGGACGGGTTGGAGACCTGTACGGAAGGTGGGTGGGGGTAAGAGGGCGCCAGGGTATCCCGTGCCTTTTTGCATCCAAGAGCATCCTTCCCCCAGGACTATGGACTATGACAAAAAGGTCTCCGGATGCGCAACCAGTTCCGGAGAGAGGGCGAGAAGATTGGGGGGGGGCGGCGATTCGAAAACGGTCGAGTCGTCGGCGGTTTTTGAAGGACGGCAGGAGGTGATGCGAGTCGTCGGGGTGGAACGGGATGGATGGATGGGCGGGGGTGGGTCTGTGCCGTTTCGTTGGGTTCACGGCCTCGAGCCGTCGGGGATCGGGTCAACATCGTCGTCGTATTGTTGCGCAGCTGGGTCAGCATGTCATCACCATTGCCTTTTTATCTTTTCCTTTCGTGCCGTGGGCAGCGTCGTCATCACTTCCCCCTCTCTCTTCCCGGTGCAGGGGGCAGGAGAGGGTGGCTGGGCAGGGAGGACGAGGCACAGGACGGGCGTCAGCAGGGCGAGGAGTAAGTCGGGCCTGCCCTCTACAGGAGGGATATTCAAACATAGTCAAACAATGAAGATGTGTGGACATGTTGGGAGTATTGTTTGAGTACTTGTTCGCCCCAAATCCCCCTGTAGGGGGACAGGCCGGACTTCAGGCGAGGAGGAGGAGGAAGAAGATGAGGGGGAGGGGAAGAAGATGAGGGGGAGGGAGCCTTCTGAGAAGTGTTCTGTGCCTTCGGGGAAGGCTCAGGAAATTTCTCAGAGGGCCGAGCGACTCCCGAGCCTTCTGAGGAGACCCGCCCCTTCTCACTTCCGCCCGGGGCTCGCCGCCGAGAAGGGGGCAAGTGAGAGGACGGGAGGATGATGTGACGGCGTGGGGAGGAGGTTGGGGGTGGGAGGGGGATGGAGCCAGAGCGGGTGGGATGAGGAGCGATGATGGGTGAGGCAGTGAAGATGCTCCTCCTCCTCTTCCTCCTCCTCCTCCTCCCTCCTCCTCCTCCTCCTCCTCCTCCTCCTCCTCCTCCTCCTCCTCCTCCTCCTCCTCCTCCTCCACCTCCTCCTGGGGGGGGGGCGGGGGCGGCGGGCCACACGAGGGAGGCATGAGACACCAGGCCCACGAGGCAGGAGAGCGCGGACGACGACGACGACGTCTGCGCCACTGTCAGGGCTTGCCGCCGGGGCGGCGGCGGCCTGCGTGGCCGCGGCGGCCGTCACGCTGTCCTTGAGGCGCCACGGGTGCCGCGTGCGTGCCGCGCCTAGCGTTCCGCGATGGCTTATTTCGAAGAAAAACGGCATAAACATTGGTCGGAGTTTGATAGACCTCCTACCCTGACACGTCGATTAGTGAATTGGCCGCTTTCGGTTCGCGAGAGGGCGTCACAGCCGCTAGTTTTGCGGGTCCAGGTCCGTCGGTTTCGGTCCTAGGCCGTTTTCACTAAAGGTTGGTCTACTAAAGGGAGGTTTGTCCACCGTCGAATTGGCGCTCCGCGCGGATTTCTTGGATCCGCGCTGGCCCCACCCTCCCTGGCGCGCGGCAGGTTCTGTTTATGGCGTTGTTTCTTCTTTTTCTTCTTCCATTACTGGCGGGCGAAGAACGGTACCGAACAAACCTTTTCGCCGTCGGGGGCGCCAGGTCCCAGGGCGGCTGGAAAGTTAATACCCCTACTTCCATTTCATGTTGTACTTGTCTTCGCCCGCGAAGCTTAAGAGCTTTGAGGCGACGCCCGCGTCGGTGCCGACGCTAACACGACGACGATCCCCTGTCAGTGAGTACGGTAGGTTTACACCGCGTCGGCGCGCCAGCTGCCGCAGCGTGGGCGTTCAGAGTGGTTTGCCGCGAGTGGCCACGAACCGGCCGACATCGGAAGACCCGCGTTATCGGAAGGCCACGGTCGTTCAAGTTTGAACGGCCCACGCAGTGTCAGATACCAGCACCAACGTCGCCGCGAAACTAATTGATGACGCTTCGCGTATCACCGCCAGCCTTCTCCCCCCCGTTCCGCCGCTGGTCGCCGCGCCGTGGCGTCCCCACCTGCAGGGATGTCTGTGCCGGTCACCTGCCGACGCCGCTGGCGTCTTAATGAGGGTAATTTTGTCCCTGGCAAGTGCACACGCCACTGCGGCCAATTATCTTCGTTCCGCGCCCCGGACGTTGACCCGCTCCTAGACCGTCGCCTGGGAGCCGCCGACCAAAAAAGTATCACCGCCAGCCCATCCAACAACGATGCCCACCCAGGCGAGTTTCCTTGAACAGGGAAGTGGGACAGCATGCAGTGGGACACAGAGCTGAGTAAGCCGTCAAGCCGAAGCCTTGGGTCAGCCTGAACAGGCCCGTCAGGCATTCGCGGATCTTTCGCCCCGCGAGCCTTTTCGATGCTTCTTCGGATGCTTTTTGGAACCATCTTGGAGTCATTTGGAGGCCTGCTGGGCCCTCCTGAGGCCCCCGTGGAGGCTTCTTGGGGGCCTGTCGGAGGCCCCTTGAGGGCTCTGGGAGGCTGATTGGAGCGATATCAAGGCCTCCCCTCGGAGGCAGAATACCTGCCTCTTGGAGCGCTCTTGGGCGATCTTGGGGCCGTCTTGGGGCCTTCTTGGACCCCTCTTGGGGCTCTCTTGGGCCTTCTTGGACCTCAGAAGCCCATCGGAAACGAAAAGGCAAGAATGTAACCAACGATGCTTCCCTTTGGTGTTCGAAGGATTTGGGCCTCTTGGGGGGACCTTGAGCTCGGAGAGCACTTGAGACCGTCTTGAGCCCGTCTTGGAGCCTCTTGGATGCATGTCGGAGGCTATTTTGCGCCAGCTTGAGCCATCTTGGAGGCCACCTTGGGCTCTCTGAGGCGCTCTCGAAGCCATCTTGGGCCACCTTGAACGCTCCGCCCCCCTGGGCCAACCCCAGCCCAGGCCCAGGGGGGGTGGAGGCAAGCTCCACCGAATAAGGGAAGGGAGGACCTAACAAAGGAAACGCTTAGACCATCGACCAGATTTTCCGAACAGCCAATAGTGAGCGCGGCCAAAGTACAGTGGACGCAGCATGTTCGGCCCATCCTTTCCCAAAACTCCTTGTAACACATGTGCGCTGATTATGTCTGGCAATGGCATGGTAATGGACACCAATGTTTAAATCGGTTCGTATGCTTCCTGTGCTCTTCGGCGCAGCTCACGGGTCTGGCTGAAGTTCGGTCACATTGGTTCTTGGACGCTTCAGGGTGAGCTCGCCTGCCTCAGTCCGAGACATCGAAGCACAGCTGCAAGTTCGGGTATTCTTGCTCGCATTCCGCACGCTCTAACATGGCCTGCGTAATCTCGGCAGGCCGATCCTCGAGGCCTTCCCGTTGCGTTCGCCCTTCTCTGGCGTCCGCATGGCCATGGACCAGGCAGTCACGTCAGGCCTCCTCCCTGTTTCTCGACCTCCTTGGTGCATATGCCCTCCGCCCGCATTGCTTAATGTGAGGCAGTGTCTGGAAACGTCTTCCACACCTGCCATCAGCCCTTGCCCCACCCTTCTGCATGCTTGCATGTCCGGCTTGGGATGTTGGTCGTGTGGTTGTGCTTGTCGACTTAATTGGCCGGCAGGTCGGCAACTCAGCTTGTCGGTTGGTTGGTCGGCAAGTTGGGCACAGGGTGTCGTCACAGTCCGTACCGAGGTTGATCTGCATTTGGACGCTTGTTTGTTTCAGCAGGTTGCGGGAGTGGATGCCACGAAAGACACCCATTCACCGTCTTTTCGCATTCAGTCTCGCTCAATATGTGATGGTCATATATTGCATATGGTTGTTGTGGTTGCCCAGCTGTTTGGTTTAGCCGCGCTCGCCGAAAGTCGCGTAACCCCATACTCGCACAGGACATCATATTTGTGCGGCGGTGCGTGCGGGGGTTCGTGGCTTCGCGAGCTCGGATCCGCCGTATGATGGGGAGGGCGAAACGATTCACGTTCGGACGCAAGGAAGCAGACGAGCCTCCGTTTATTTATGTAGTTGGGTTGATGGGGAGGGGGGGGGGTCCAACACCGTTTCAGATGGCTTGCGAGCGTTCTAACATGATTCCGACGGGGCTCAAGATAGCTCCAGAAGTTTTCGGGACTGCCGAAGTGGGTGGCAGATGATTCCGTCTTCGGCGAGTCCCTGGGGGAAGTGAGCAGGAGCAGGCCTTCTCAGAAGGTTCGGAGTTCCCCCTGTCTGAATCGTCCCCGAATACACAGGACACTTCTCAGCAGGCGCGAGGGCGTCTGAGAAGTCCTGCCGCCTTCTCAGATGGGCTGCTCCTCCTCACCCTCTCTCGCCGCCGATTCTCGAACAGCAGCATCGCCTCGATTCAGGGGTAGGATGAGGAGAAGGAGCGGGAGGACGAGCAGGATGACGACCAAGGCTACATGGCAGTGAGAGCCTCGTTCCAGGAGGAGCGCGCTCTGGCATGCTGCCCTTCTTTCCCGATGTTTTGCGCCATGTCTGGGTGAGCTTGTTTTGCCCAGCTGCTCAGTGTCTACGTGCATGTTTCGAGCAATGGCTGCATGTGTGTGTATGCGTGCGTGCGTGCGTGCGTGCGTGCGTGTGCGTGTGCGTGTGTGTGTGTGTGTGCGTGTGTGTGTGTGTATTTGTGTGTGTGTGTTTGTGGTTGTGCTCTAATGTGGGCTCCTGTGGTTCGAGTTACGAGCGGCTTGGCATTCGCGCCTGGCGGCTTGCCTAGGGCTCGCATCTGGTGCTGCAGCGGTTCCTCCAAGATAGGTGCTTTCGTTAAGGAAGGGTGTGGGTGTCTGTGTGTTTGTGTGTGTGTCGGTGAGCGGCCAGGTCGGTTCTTTCTTAGGACCTTCTTCACTGGCATCGTTTCGTCCGCTCTTCGTCCCCCATGTGACTTGCATAGCCTGTGGGCGCTCGCTGACAGCGTCCGATGCCGCGTGCGGCGCTGCCGACGACAAAGTATGTGGGTCCTTGGCCCCAGGGTCGTTCCCGAATCGACCGACCACCTGGCAGCAGCCGAGCCACCAGCACTCCGACCATCACGTAGTGGGTCCAGGGCATGCGGCAGTGGGAGGGGGGGGAGGAGGAGGGGAGGAAAAGTCCCCAAAAGAGGACCCAAGCTTCCGACGACTCGAGTTGTAAGAGTGGCTAGGAGCCAGACCTCTCGACCCTTGCCCCGCGGGCCGGCTTTTCATCCCGCGCCGTTTTTCTGACAGTCAGTGGGCCCAGAAGTGGCCACTCACGGCGAAAATGGCAGAGCATTTCGGGCGCGACATGTCAGAGCCGCCGCCGGGTTGTGCACCCTGCGTGCAAATTGAGCTTCAGACACGTTCAGGGGCACGTTGTGGCCACGACTCCGAGGAGGGGATCCAGCGGTGGCCACAAGAAGCCCCCACGAGGATCAAAAAGGTCAACCTAAAGCGTCCACGTTCCTCGAACCTCGATCCCCAAACTTCGCCAGAGGTCTGGGAAGGAGGAGGGAGAGGAGGAGGAGAGGGAGGTCTCGCAGTAAACCGCAGCGCAAATAAATCTAGATTTTCGAGTGCCGAGTGCCTGTGCAGGTCTCGCGGGTCGGCGCTGGGCCGTCCTTGTCCTGGCGCAGATGGGGGGCGGACAAGCGCCGGCGCCGATCTCCGAACGTTCTTGTTTCTGCCGTGTTCTGCTCGGTTAGAGGAGGGTCCCAGGGCGGCTCGGCCAGCGTCCAGAGGCGGGGTGCCACCGCTATAGGGTGGGCGAGTCCTCGAGCGTCCCTTGCAGGGCAGAGCAGGATTGGAAGGGAGTGGCCCTCCTCCTCCTCCTCCTTCTCCTCTGTTTCTCTTGTTTTTCTCCTCTCTCTCCCCCTCCTCGTCCTCCGCCTCCTGCTCCTCCTCCTCCTCCTCCTCCTCCTCCGTCTCCTTCTTCTCCTCCTCTTCCTCCTCCTCCTCCTCCTCCTCCTCCACATCATCTTCGTCGTCAGAATCATCAGCAGGAGCAGCAGCAGCATCATCATCACCATCATCATCAGTATCATCCTCATCCTCCTCATCCTTCTCCCCCTCCTTATCCTTCGCTTCCTCTGCTGCTGCTGCTGCTGCTGGTGTTTGGGCGGGCCCTCTGCCTGGCTGTGGGCTGTCGGCGTATCTCGAGGTGGGTTTGCAGTGCCACACTTCCTGTCGCTCGCGCGCCAGGGGAGCAAGCTGCCGTCCAATGAAGCACACTGCCGCCCCGATCGCCTCCCCTATTGCTTCTCTTGTGGTTATGCTCTCTCGTGGCCCCCCTTACTTAGGCGGGTGCCCCTTCGCCCGACTTGAACGGACTACGGACGTGGATGTGTGTGTGTGCGCTGCGAGGGGAAAAGTCATCATTTTGCGTTTCTTCGCCATCATCCCTTTCCTCCTTCGCTCCTCCGAGGTCTCCACCAGGGATGAGGACTATGAGGGAGGAGGGCTATTCCTACGACGCTCTTCTGAACAGAGCGCACAGTGGATGTGCCTCCGTAGCGTTCGGCGCCCAGGCTGTTCGAGGGTCTCTGGACGCCAGAAAAAGGTCCACCACGAACGGTCCACAGACGCCGGAGGGGGCCCCAGGCCCCCGCGCGGGGGGTTATTGTTGGCAGGTTCGTGCCGCTTCGATGCCGGGTCGGCGCGGGCGCTCAAGGCTGAACTCCCTCCGCCCCCCAGCTCCCTCATTTTCTAGGGGCCCGCGTGAGGAGTGCCTGCGAAAGCTGGCGTCGCGAGGACTCCTGTGACAAACGGCCTGCGGCGGTGGCAGAGTCCGCCCCCCCCCCTAAGCGCACTCGTATCCCCCTCCTGAGGTGCCACCCATTTGATCTGCTGCCACCCCTTCTGGTTCTCGCCCCCAGCAAGCGCCTGGCCATTCAGCCACCTCTGGAGCGGGATGGGGGGCGCCTCCCAGCGGCAGCGCGTTGCCTTCGCTTCCCATGTCTCCATGTATCGTGTTTTTTGTTCGACGGCCCTGCTTTGGGTTTCCGTTCGGGAAAAGCGCGGTCGCGACTTCCTTTTTTCCGCGTCTCTTCTCTCCCCTCCTGTTGTGTTTCCTACCTCGCCCTCTATGCTCGCCGTCTTTCGGGTCTGCGAGCCGCGAAAGTGCCGCCCTTTTTGGTGTGGCGGTGGGGAGTCCAGCGGAGCCGCGTCCCTGGGGGCCGCGGACTGCTAAATTCCGCCCCTGTTCGTGGGCTCTGGAAGGGTCTAGCGGAGTAGCGTCCGAATGAAATCATATGCGTCCTCGCCGGCCTTCGGGTAAATTGATGATCGAATGCGTTGTAGAAGAAGTTGGTTTCCAGGTGATACCAGCGGAGATGTTTCATTCAAATGAAATGGGTCCTCGTCGTTGTCGTGGGCTGCGCACTGCGAGAGTGCTCCCCGTTATTG